GGCTGGATCCTAGTACCCTGAGATCTTGACCTGGCAAGATGCTTAACCATGACTAAGCTACGCAGGCATCCCTGAACATGATTTTTTTTTTTTTTTTTTTTTTCATTTTGCTCATGCCTAACCTAGGAAGCTCGCTCCAGATCCACTATTAGCTTATCACTGACCAGTAGAATGGGGAATAAAATTCTGTTTTGTTGGGGCGCCTGGGTGGCTCAGTGGGTTAAAGCCTCTGCCTTCGGCTCAGGTCATGATCCTGGGGTCCTGGGATCGAGCCCCGCATCGGGCTCTCTGCTCCGCGGGGAGCCTGCTTCCTCCTCTCTCTCTCTGCATGCCTCTCTGCCTACTTGTGATCTATGTCTGTCAAATAAATAAATAAAATCTTTTAAAAAAAAATCTGTTTTGTTTCATTCATTTCATTTGTTTTTTAGAGATGGGAGAATGTAATACTGTGATATAATACAAAATATTTATTTTTGTATTTGTCCAGGGTTTGTGGCATGATGCTCCTAAAATTCTTGTAATTTCCCTAAGTGATAAGAGTGATAGGAGCATCTTTTGCTATAATATTTGGGTTTTGTTCCCAGATCCTGAAATAGCTGCAGTATTAAAGGTGAAAAGGAGTGTCTTTTGCTTTCATAAAAAGTCCCTCTCAACCACACCTGAGTTTATGTTAATGAGGTGACATTTGGAAAGTGCCTAAGGATAGAGGTTGCTAAGGGAACCAACCACACCTTAGAGGGTTGAGACTTTTGGCCCCACCTTTTGACCTCTAGGGATGGGGTAGAGATCACCACTGGCCAATGATGTAATCATTCCTGCCTACACAATGAAACCTCCATAAAAAACTAACTGAAGAAGAGAGCTTCCAGGTTGCTGACTCGTCAAGGTGCAATACCTGGGGAGGACAAGGAAGCTTTACGCCTTGTCCCCCATTCCTTGTCCTATGCACCTCTTCACTTTGACTGTATCTGAGATGTATGTTTTCATAATAAACTTGTATTCTAGTAAGTAAATGTTTTCCTGTGAGTCACTCTAGCAAATTACCGAGCCTGGGGAAAGGGTATGGGAACCCTCGATTTTTACCCAGTCGGTCAGAAACACTAGTGAAAATCTGGTCTTTCAATTGACATGTGGAGTGGGGGGAGTGACGCAGTCTTGTGGGACTGAGATCTTAACCTGTAGGGTCTACACTAAGACCATGGTATTCAAGTCAGAATTGCTTGGTGTGTTGGTGTGAGTAGTAGAATAAAGAAAAACTATGTTGTCCAGAGAGTCAGAGTCCAGAGAATCAGAGAATTGGTTGGTGGTATGGGAAAACATTCCATAGAATGAATCTATAAATCTGGCTTTATTCCACCATATTTACCCTAACTTTCTGATACTTTTCCTTAAACTACATACAGCTAACAAACGCTTAAACTGTGCCTTCTTTATAATTGTTTAAATTTCTTTGCAATGGAAATAAATTTGTAACATCTCCAAGGCAAGAGGGGTGGGGAGGATGGCAGGTGTTGTTTCTTAAATAAGTTACGACTTCTTCAAATACTTTTCAATTGTGACTATTTTGAAAGGCGTCATCTTAGCAATCACCTCTCCATCTTTCCTTATTGTACCCCACCCCCGACTTTTCAAAAGACTTCATTATTCATAGAACATTCTTTTCCTTCCCATTTGTAAAGGAAGGATAAAAAAACTAAGCATGTTGGTTATTTATACCTTCTCATTCTTTCCTCTCTTTGGTAATTGTCAATGACATTCTGCATTTATAATATACTGTATTGCAATAACCATCCTAAAATCTAGTGGTCTAAAACAACAGCAATTTATTGAGTTCAAGCAGTTTGGGCAAGGCTCACAAGCTGGTCTCTGCTCCATGCAGAATTAGCTAGAGCAACTCATAGGCTGAGCCTGTGTAAGGGTGTGCTTACTCACATCTGTGGTTGATGCTGGCTGTCAGCTGGGACTATCAGCCAGAATACCTACCTATGGCCTCTCTCTAGCTGCTTGGCTTTCTCACAGTGTAGTGGCTGGGTTCTAAGAAACAGGAAGTCAAAGACATCAGTTTGTCTTTTCCCTAAATGTAAGCTCTGTGCCCAACATGGGGCTTGAACTCAACGACCCTGAGATCCAGAGTTGCATACTCTACCAACTGAGCCACACAGGTACCTCAAAGACATCAGATTTTTAAGGGCTGGGCTCACAAGCTGGCACAGATATGCTGTGAATTCTGCCATGTTCTATTGGGCTCAGATTCAAGGGGTAGAAACTTGCCCCCATCTCTCCACAGAAGGCATGTGTCATCAAAGAATTTCAAAGTCAGATTTTAAAACTCCATACGTTCTCTGAAACATACCACCTTGTCTTTTCACTGTGTTGTTTCTATGTTAAAATAAAAGTGACACTGAACATTTCCTTCCATGGATACCTGGGTCCGCATGAATCACGGCAGCTGATTTCACACATCTAATATTTTCCTTGCCCACTGAGGGCAGTTGCACACCTGAGTTATGGAGATCACGAAAACCAGGTTCAAGAGAAAGAGGCCTTCATATTCTTTCCTAGTCTACTCTCCTCCCCAGGTCAAGCGGAGGCTTTGGGCAAGTTAAAGGAGTTAGCAGTTGCAGCAGCAGAAGAGACAAACGGGTAGGTTGGAAGCAGGAGGAAACTTCCAGAACTCATGTGCAATTGGAACATCTCACAATGCCTCATTTCTGGGACATGGCACAGTTGGAAGTGGGCCATGCTGCCAGTGAGGAAGTGAGAAGTGACCTAGGGAGGGACCACAGAAGGCAGCCAGACAAGGCTGCCCCAAGCAAGGGTGGTTCCTTTTTCTCCCGGTCACAGCCCAGCATCACCTGCAGGCTCAAGCCATTTGATCATTTACTCATTCAACATATATACCCGTGATAGGATCTAGAACATATTATCCCAAAACAGAACCCATTGGCATATGGATTATTTTAAACTGAAGAAATTTGAGAAACAGCATGTGCAGGACTGACTTTCTGACCTTCCCCTAAATAGGAAATAAAACCCTCATGTGAGAGGCGTCCTCCCTATACCTAGAGAAAAGGAGCATTCTTGTCACCAAAGATGAAGGGACCCAGAGAGGAATCTGCATGAACAGGCCTCACCAAGTTTTCACCAGTTTTACTACACTTACCTCATAACCTTTGTCCTGTCATCATCCGGCAACTCTTTATCGAACCTAGCATAACAGCACGCAGGCTTAATTGTTTCTTCTGGTCTTCACTTCTTTAGGAAGGATTCTGCACCACATAAAACTTCTATTAAATAAATCTGTATGTTCTTCTCTTATTAATTTGTCTTTTGTTACAGGGGTGCCAGTCGAAAACTTAGAAGGGTAAAGGAAAAATATTTTTTTTCCCAGCTCTGCACCTGCCAGGGACGGTGAACATGCCAGTGTAATAAGAAACACTCTAGTGCTTCTCCGCATCCTTGTCTGCTCCACGAGCCCATATTGCTATTCTGTTACTCTCTCCATACTGCCCACTGCCTTCCAACACACACACACAATTTCTTAAAATCTGATTTCCTACTTTTTTTTTTTAAGATTTTATGTATTTATTTGACAGAGAGAGAGAGACAGAGAGCACAAGCAGGCAGAGCAGCAGGCAGAGGGAGAGGGAGAAGCCAACTCCCAGCTGAGCAGGGAACCCCACTTGGGCCTGGATCCCAGGACCCTGGGAAGGCAGATGCTTAACCATCTGAGCCACCCAGGTGCCCTGATATACCACTTCTATCCTGCACCTGCCGGCCTGGATGCCTAGGGCTACACCCACCTGGTCTTCCTCTGCCCTTGGGATATCTTCTCCCAAGGGCTGTCCTGGATGTTGGTGGAAGATAAACCACTGCAACCTTAAAGCTTGACTACTGACACTCTCTTCTCCTTTCAACCTCTACCTCAGCTTTAACTTCTAACCCTTACTGAGTTTGAACCAAGCTTAACACTCCTGCTCGGAGCAAGCTGTTCCAACTTTTGCGAACCTATACTCCTAACTCCTGAGTTTGCTTGCAGCTGCACTGTGGAGCATACCCTTGACCTTTCTGAGAGCCACACGCACAGGACCACCACAGGCTAAGCCGTGTGGAAGGTAAAGGAGACAAGATCTCCTTACAGAACCCTGCTTTAACACTCCCATCTTGGGCACATGAGTAGCTCAGTCAACTGAGCTTCCAGCTCTTGATTTTGGCTCAGAGTATGATCTTAGAGTCCTGGGATAGAGCCCCACATGCGCCTCTACGCTCAGTGGGAGTCTGGAGATTCTCTCTCCCTCTCCCCCTGCCTCTTCTCCCCCCAATCCCCCCACTACACTGCCCCCCCCGCCTGCCCCCATGCTTGTTTGCACTCTGAAAGAAAGAAAGAAAGAAAGAAAGAAAGAAAGAAAGAAAGAAACACTGTGACTTTCCTAATCCTAACAATGCCTACATTTCTGCATTGTCTCAACCTACTTATAGCCCTCCAGGCAGGACTTCCCTGATATGGTTAGTACACAGTGCATAAGGCTCCCATTTCAAGGACTCTAGGAAACTTCTCTCCATCCCCTGACCATTTTACCCACTTTTGTGTATAAGTCTTTGGGTTCTCAGTGATAGGTCAAGCAGAGGAACCCTGGCCCTTTTGTCAGTCTTTTTCTTGACTAATAAGCCTCACTATTTCCCCCCAGTGAATGCATGTCCAATTTCTCATTGTAATCTTGCTTTCACACTTTAAAAATTACCCCAAACTGAGGTAAATGGAGCTGACTTGTTTGGGGCTGTTTAATGTTGGGAGAGTAGTAGGGGTCTCATCAGCCTGCTCAACCTTTTAGTAACAGTGCAGTAGTAAGACCTGTGTTTTAAGCCTATTAATATGTTTTATTAATCCATGTTTAAATAAACATCTAATGACTTTCACCTTGTTGGGATGGGTCCTCTGACTGTCCTCTTTTATTATTTTTTTAATGAATTTATTTATTTATTTATTTTAGTAATCGCTACACCCAACATGGGGCTCGAACTCATGATCCTGAGATCAAGAGTCTCATGCTCTTCCCACTGAGCCAGCCAGGCACTCTAATTCTCCTCTTGTGTCTTTTATTCACCCCATCAATGTTTCTTTCCTCGATTCGCCTTATTTCTTTTTTTTTTTTAAGATTTTATTTAGTTATTTATTTGACAGACAGAGATCACAAGTAGGCAGAGAGGCAGGCAGAGAGAGAGAGAGGAGGAAGCAGGCTCCCCGCCGAGCAGAGAGCCCGATGTGGGGCTCGATCCCAGGACCCTGGGATCATGACCTGAGCCGAAGGCAGAGGCTTTAACCCACTGAGCCATCCAGGCGCCCCCAATTCGCCTTATTTCTTAATAACCATCTTAAACTTTTCATTTTCCTAAAACCAGTCTTTGACTCTTCCCTCAGCCTCTCCCAGTCTCTTGTTCATTAACCTAATGTTTTTATAAGCATCCGTAAGACCCATGAGGAGAAGCTAAGACAGCAAAGTCCACAAGGTTTCCAGACTGTTGCTCAGTTGTGTATCACTAATGTGATATGGGATGCCCCAGCAAGAGGAGGTCCCTCAACCACGGCATTTACCAGGATTTGGATAATGGGCAGATTCAGTAGGTGAATATCCTGATTATCACGAAACCAGTCCCCCATGGCCTGTATATGAAAGGCATCAGTGGCTTCATCCGTGGTGTTCCACTTGCATTTATAGAGAGAGCTGGGTAGTCACCCTTCTCAGGCTCAACAGATCTTGCAGTGGCTCTTTTCTAGCCCCCAAGCCTGGCTCTTTCCTCAGGAACAAGTGTTTGGACCATGTAGAGCCATCCATGATTGTTCAATAGTAGCTGCAGGTCCCCTCTGAACCCAAACATGCCCTTCCATCTACAACATCCAAAACCAAAGGCACTCCCTCTAAATTACTCTGAAAATCCATTTTCATCAAGGTTCTTCAAGAAGCTGATGATACCCACCCACAAAATGGCACTCTGCCGTACCGTACTCCTGCTTTCAGTAGTTTCTTGGTTTTTCACCACCCCTTCCCCAATATGGACTGTCTTGCTGGGGGCCAGAGGTCTCAGAGGTACTGTGTGTTGTGCCTGCAGTTTTTCCCTTTGAGGGGGGCATTGAAGTCAGAGGCCTAAGCTCAGATCAAACAGAAATCGGAGCCTGGTCTAGCATCGAAGTTCGATCCAGTACTCTCTTAATTCCATTTTAGTGATTATGGATAACAGTAACCAAGAAACTGTATATTTTACATTTTGTTTATTGGTTTGCATTCTCTTATGGCTCCAATAAACCAACTTCCAAGGAATTGCAGCCATCTCTAAATTCCACTGCTAACTTTCACCTTCAGTAAATGATTGCAGCACAGATGCTGTTCTACCCATCAGGGACCATGTGTCATCCAGCAAACAAAGGTTCCTCATCCCTGAACCTTTCATCCTTTCTCTTTCCAAACTATAAGTTGGCTGGCCCCACATAGTGCCAGGAGGGCACAGAGGCACCAAATTTCTTAATACACTGGCAGGCCTCACTGTCATTTATAGGTGTAGGATCTTTTCCCTCTACCCTCTGGAGATTCCAAGGATCTTAGAAGCTCTAATGTCAGGGAAGACTAGATATTATAACAAGAAAATGCTCCTCTCTGCCCCCCATCACTCAGGAAATTACAAGGATTTTAGGAGCTCTGTGTCAGAAACTGGAGGCAGAGACCAAATATGTATTTCTTACTATGTCACAAGTGTCTACAGGAGAATTTTTTAAGTTACCCCTCTGGGTGGACACAGCTCCATAAACACAAGTGTTATTGATTAGAAATCATCTTTATGCCAAGGAAAAAGGAGTGAGCAGAAGATGCACTGGATTTGCAGCCCCACTAGGCCCTCAGCCGGGGCTTTTGTGTAGGGCAGCCCAAAACAGTGAGCCCATGGTCTCTGGGCTGTGGGGCTAGTCAATATCCTTACACTAGTTGTTGGTTTACTTAATACCCTAAAGTCAGAAATGCTCTAACCCCTCCCATCCACTCCCATGCTAGTGCCACTTTACTACTTACATTCAGTGAGTGTCTGTCTTCTGTCTCCTTATAGACGAAAGGAATGAAAACACTCCTCACTAGATCCTATAAGGTCACAGTTTTCCCAGCACTCCTTTTAGAAGCAGGTTTAATGAATGCTGTCAGAATTGCCCTTGGATTGTCTAAACTCAGAATACAAAGCCAGAACCAGTCTAAAACAGGATTAACAATATCAAGTATGGAAACTTTGACCTATAAATTCCCAAATTCAGACCATGAATAGGGCTGATCCAGAATATCATGAACTGTAATTCCATGGAATCATTTCAATAGACGTTAATAGCTGCTATGAGAGGGAGGGAATCTTTGATTAAATATATCTAAGAAGCTGTGAGTTCAATAAAGTTAAAACTTCTTTACTGCAGGATTTCTCAGAGCCTTTCTTCTAGCAGTATAAATGGTGTCTCCAAGAACGGACAGGACATGCTCTGTTTCAAATTCATATGACCATAGGAATTTTTGGGCAAGGAGTACATCCATGGAGCATATTTTTAAAAACATTAAGGCATAAGGACTTAGATACAGAGAGACTCTGCCTATAGGTGGAACCAAAGGCTCCAATTCCCACCTAGATTGTAAGATTTCTGATATAATAAGAAAGGTCATGTACATTGCTAATTCCCTTCTATATCTTTAATCATTAATTAATCTTTTTTTTCCAACTGATCATTTTTTAAACATTGACTTAATTTTTCTCAAGATTTTATTTTTAAGTAGTCTCTACACCCAATGTGGGGCTCAAACTCGCAACCCTGAAATCAAGAGTCACATGCCCCAATGACTAAGCCAGCCAGGCACCCCTATTTTTTTAATTCTGAGATCTCAAATGTTCTCTTGAAAGGATCATTGATGGCCCAATGTCTAAAAAAATAGTTTTCAGTGCTTTCAAACTGGGCTAGCCAACTAGGGCCTGTGGGGCAAAATGGCCAGCTGCCTGTTTTTGTAAGTAATGTTAAAAAAAATAGTCATGCCCTTTCATTTACATATTGCCAATGCCTGCTTTTATGCATCTGCAGAGTTAAGTAGTGGCAATAGACTATATGGCTCCCCCAGATTAAGAACGTTTCATATCTAGCTCTTTACAGAAAAAGTTTACCTGTCCCTACTTAAAAGAGAAAATGAAAGGTAGTGTTAATTCAGTACTCAAACCATGTGTCTCTTTTTCAAATATTTCAATGAATTTAGCTAACTTAAGTTTGAATTAATACAATTAATTTTACTTTCCCCCTTTAACCATCCCTGTGTTTGTGTGTGAAGGTTTTCCTTTGGTTTTTTTCTCAGAGAGCCCTCTAATGTTCCATAATAAACTTCTTGCCTAAATATAAAAATTGCAATTTTTCAAACTTGTACTTCTGATTAAAAATGGCAGATCGAAGGGTGCCTGGGTGGTACAGTTGGTTATGTATCCAACTCTTGGTTTTGGCTCAGGTCGTGATGTCAGGGTCATGAGATTGAGCCCTGTGTCAGGTTCCATGCTCAGCGTGGAGTCTGCTTGTGATCCTGGCTCCCTCTCCTTCTGCCCCCCCCCACCATGCTCTCTTTCTCTGTAAAATAAATAATCTTTCAAAAATTAAAATAAAATTTAAAAATAAAATAAAAATGGCAGATTGAACACACCCATTTATCTCTTGTCCCACCAAAATCCCATTATAATGAAGTAAAAATTTTAAAAGACATAAGCTCCCAAAGACAAATGGAAGAGACAATAATGAACAAATAACTTTTAAGAAAGTCAAGAATACATAAAGTGGATGGAGAAGCAATAACTAACTTAATGAGCTGACGAAGCTGATCCCAAGTGGCCCAGTGAAAAATGAGCTGATCTAACAAGAAGAGTGGTGGCCCAGCTCAGAAACGAAGGTCTGGAAGTACTTAGAGGACATAAGGCATCAGGCTTGCAACAGAACTGACTGAAAATCTGTATAAGGAACCATTAAATTAGTTTTTCACCCTGCAGCAAACAGCTGAGCAATTCTCTTTTGCTCAGTCCCTCAAAGAGATGGAAGGTTTATTCTCTGGGGAGAGTGACCCAGGGAGGCCCAGGGCTCAGTAATACTAGATGTGGTATAGGTATAGGTAAAGGGCTGACAACATAGGCTTGGGTGGAAGTAAACCATGACTGACGCATGCACCAAACTCTTCCCTCTTTCTGGCTGACTGCTAGTGATCCATCAGAATTCATTCTCTCTTTTTCCATGATAACCAAGTTGTGGTTGGGCAAGTGGGATGTCAGGCAGGCAGCATGGCTCCCAGCCCCACTGCAGTGTGATCCAGAACACTAAGCTCTCACCCAAGGAACATGAAAACACATTCCTTCACCTGAGCTGTTCCTGGCTCTTCCCCTTTCCTGAGAGGGACCGTGGGCTCCTCCGACACTCTGTTTCAACCACAAAGAAAAGGACAATGCCTGAGGGTAGTGATTCTTACACCTTGACATGGATCAAAATCACCTCAGGTTTTAGGAGAACACTAAGTCCCATTCCCAAAGTAGCTGACTCCCTATGTCTGAGGTAGGCCTGAAAATCTGCATTTCTAACAATACTCTAGGTGATGCTGATGCTGTTGGTCCAGGTCCATTGAGAACCATTGCCCTATGATATGTACCCAGACAGAAGAAAACCAAATTCCTAAAATGACTGGGTGGAGATGAGCAGTCCACTTAGCCAACCTTGATAGTTATGTGAAAGAAAACTTTTTCAAGCCACTGCACTTCTAGATCTCTTCAGCAGATAGCTTCCCATTCTAATTAATATCCTAATTAATAGTCTTGCCTAGCTCCTGGAGGTGTGGCAGGAGAGTTGACAACCAGGTTTCTCTTGAGAACCTGGTTGGCTGCAGAGAAGCAATTTTATTTATTATTTATTTATTCATTAAAGATTTTTTTAATTTTTAAAGATTTTATTTATTTTTGCAAGAGAGAAAGAGAGAGAGAGAGAGAGCAAAAATGAGTGGGAGGAGGGGGCAGAGGGAGTAGCAGGCCCCCCACTGACCAGG